ATGATGAAGGACTTCCTCAACCTGAACAGACTATGAACCAATCTATGCCAATGCCAGCATATGTTTCACTTGTACATCCACCTTGGATGCCTGGTGGATCAGCAAACTCTACTCCAAATGGTGCAGGTGAGAACAACAACAATGACTCTGGTGGCAGTGGGCACAGCAAGCGATTAGCATCAGCACTCCAGGAGGTTGAAAATGAATTGAATGTTGTACGGCGTGATCTTGAAGAGTTCGAGGCAACCAAAAGGCGCAAGAAGAACTCAGAGATCATGAGTGTGGAAGAGTCTGATGACCATCAGGATGAATTTATTCCAACGTCTGAACTTTCAACCAGTGACACTGAAGTTGCAGATGTGGACTTTGATGATGAGGGTGACCTAGGTGACGAAGTTTCAGTACGTGCACCATCATCTTCACCGCAGCGAGTGAGCGCATTTGAATCAGCGCAACTATATGATTTCAGTGCGTGTGAAAAGTACAGGTACATCAAGAGGCACAAGTGTCGGAGAATTCAGGGACAAGTTGGTTTTGCGTCATCATCTACTCCAAGGCCCCATTCTGGACCTTTGTTGAGAAAGATGGGCCGCTTCAGGACAAACGGACAAATAACTGTTTGTTTATTGATTTATGTCTATGTCACTTCTAGTCAATGTATATTAGTGACAATGATGTTTGTATTTTCCAATGTATTCAAAGGATGTTTGTTTAATTATGTATATAGAATATATTTTACTATGCGCTCGTAGAAGGTTCATGTGAAGTCACGTGTAATCAGCTGATCAGGATTGCAGAAGAAGAAGAAGACCCACATGAGGACAGCGACAGCGACAGTGGCTCCACTCCCAGCGCCTGAATGCAATATACAGGATTGTTGGACGCTGTGTAGCTATGGTCAGATTGGTGAGAGCGTAGACGTCACTTTTTCTTGACGTCCAGTGTGCTTTATCAAATAAATATTGGTTGTGGTAGTAAGCCACATGTGAAGAGTATCAGCAAATCTGGACATCAATCATATAGGAAATGAAAAGCACTGCACTGCTGCAGAGCTCACTGTGCTCACCCAATAGTGATAAAAAGAAATATAAACAAAAGAAATCAGTTTGTGTTTGTTTATTTGTTGTGACAATTTAGTTATTTTGTAAACTTTTCACTAATCGGCTCGCTGAACTGTGCAACTGTGTGAAAAGGACTGTGCAAAGCTAAGCGTGATGTAGTTCATTGCAGCAAATCTTCACTGCAGCAGAAACAACTTTTGATATCAGCAAGCTACACTAGACTATTTAATTCGCCTTCATGCTGAGGTGAGGTTTGCCTAGCGTGCATCAGCTTCCTGATCTCAAGCTGTCAGGAACCCAAGAAGTCTACATTGCACCTTCAACGTGAACAAAAATATGTGTGATATTCATTGCAGTTTGTATGTCTTTGCAGTGGTATCAGACGTTCAGTTCTTGACTTACTTACGGCATGTTCAAAGGCTCAAAGCAGACATAACAGCAAACACAGCAGAAACCATATAGTTATATGTTTACATTGTTAACCTAATCTATAGACAATCAGCAAACAATTGTATATATAATATATATTGACTATATATGTATATTGAATATAGGTACAGAAGATATAATATGAAATATACAAACATTGACATATATAAATATTTTACTGGCTAATATTTGTAAAGTCATACAAACATGTGTTTGTATATCGCTAGTAGGCACCTAGTATATTATGAAGTAGGTCATTTAGTCTACTGGTGAGTAGGTTACCTAGTATACTGGTAAGTAGGTTCCCTAGTCCACTGGGGATGATGTTCCCTAGTCTACTGGGGAGTGGATTCCCTAGTCTACTGGGGAGAAGGTTCCCTAGTCTACTGGGGAGGAGGTTCCCTAGTCTACTGGGTAGGATGTTCCCTAGTTCACTGGGGAGGAGGTTTTCTAGTCCATTGGGGAGAAGGTTCCCTAGTCTACTTGGGATGATGTTCCCTAGTCCACTGGGGAGGAGGTTCCCTAGTCTACTGGGGAGAAGGTTCCCTAGTCTACTGGGGAGAAGGTTCCCTAGTCCACTGGGGAGGAGGTTCCCTAGTCCACTGGGGAGAAGGTTCCCTAGTCCACTGGGGAGGATGTTCCTTAGTCCACTGGGGAGGATGTTCCCTAGTCTACTGGGGAGGGGATTCCCTAGTCTACTGGGGAGAAGGTTCCCTAGTCTACTGGGGAGGAGGTTCCCTAGTCTACTGGGGAGGATGTTCCCTAGTCCACTGGGGAGAAGGTTCCCTAGTCCACTGGGGAGGAGGCTCCCTAGTCTACTGGAGAGGATGTTCCCTAGTCCACTGGGGAGGATATTCCCTAGTCTACTGGGGAAGGGATTCCCTAGTCTACTGGGGAGAATGTTCCCTAGTCTACTGGGGAGGAGGTTCCCTAGTCTACTGGCGAGAAGGTTCCCTAGTCTACTGGGGAGTAGGTTCCCTAGTCGACTGGGGAGGAGGCTCCCTAGTCTACTGGGGAGGATGTTCCCTAGTCCACTAGGGAGGAGGTTCCCTAGTCTACTGGGGAGGACTTTCCCTAGTCCACTGGGGAGGAGGTTCCCTAGTCCACTGGGATGATGTTCACTAGTCTACTGGGGAGAAGGTTCCCTAGTCCACTGGGGAGGAGGTTCCCTAGTCCACTGGGGAGGATGTTCCCTAGTCCACTGGGGAGGATGTTCCCTAGTCTACTGGGGATGGGATTCCCTAGTCTACTGGGGAGAAGGTTCCCTAGTCTACTGGGGAGGAGGTTCCCTAGTATACTGGGGATAATGTTCTCTAGTCAATTGGGGAGGAGGTTCCCTAGTCCACTGGGGAGGAGGCTCCCTAGTCTACTGGGGAGGATGTTCCCTAGTCCACTGGGGAGGATGTTCCCTAGTCTACTGGAGAGGGGATTCCTAGTCTACTGGGGAGAATGTTCCCTAGTCTACTGGGGAGAAGGTTCCCTAGTCTACTGGGGAGAAGGTTCCCTAGTCCACTGGGGAGGAGGTTCCCTAGGTTCGCTAGTCCACTAGGGAGGAGGTTCCCTAGTCTACTGGGGAGGAGGTTCCCTAGTCCACTGGGGAGGAGGTTCCCTAGTCTACTGGGGAGTAGGTTCCCTAGTCTATTGATATATATATATTTATACTAATACTATAACCATATAGTTCTTATTGATTATATATATATTTACATTATGAATAAAATAATATAATATATATATATATGTGAGATATATATATATATATTTATAATAAGCACAATGTTTTGCGGAACTGCGATCGTCATCAGCGAGCATGAAAAATCACTGCTGGTGAATCAGAAAGCGATTGCTGTGTTGAGGCGCTTCGTTGTTGATATGTGTGTATTTTTTGTTTAAACAAATGGTTTGTATATGTTGATGTGTTGAATGTGTTTTTGTAATATATTTGTTTATTTGATGTTATATTGTATATAATTGATTCTTTATATTAAGCTGTCAGGCCCAGAAATCTTCGATACAATGGTGTAACGCTTTGTCTTGCAACAGTTGTGGAGAAGCACGAGAAGTCAATAACAAAGTTAGAGCTCTTTGCACGCATTCGCTTTTCCAAAATTGAAATGTCAACTGTGTACAACAAGATGCAATCCTTTGATATGGTCGAAATCAAAGCACTGCTGACATTATCAAGGATCTACGAAAGGAACAATCTGTGCAGACATGGTCGGAGATTGTGTCTTGGGACTTGTCGGAGTGTGAGTATTTACATTCAATTGAAGCAAAAGCTCAACGGTATCGAGCTGGTTTGTGCACCTTCGTTTGTTGGGTCAACTTCATGACTCTTCCAGTGATCAGAGAAGAACAACCAGAAGAATCTATTTCAAATGCTGCTGAATCTTTTGCGCATGAGGAGGAGAGACATTGCTGACCAACACTTTTGTTCACTACTGTATTTAAATAGATATTATACTTTGTTTTGCTGTTTGGCTGTGTGCTGTAGTCAGGACACAGACAAAGATCAATGTCAAGAAGAATCACATCAGTCATCAAGTTCCAGACCATCCGAAGGTGATGAGCAAAAGACTGCGCACTCTTTTGTGACAGACTTGCAGATGCAAGGTGCTTTGCTGGACTTTGAAAATGCAAGTATACATTCGCCGCATATTGATGCTAAAGATTCTTGCATAAAACAATATTTTGTTGTGTATTGTATTTGATGCTTCATGTTTGTGTTTATGGAATCTATTGAGCATAGGAATATTAATTGCTTTTGTTCTTTTTGCAGTCATATTGTAATGTTAAGGATGCTCATGATTCAGATCATGAGAATGACTTTATGTCCACGTCATCACCACGGTCTGCTTCAAGTTTGACAAAAGCATTGGAACAAATTATGGATAATGATCTTGAGGAACATATCGCATCAACAGGAACGCCGATAGAACAACAACAGCCTACAAATCCAATGAGTTCATTGAGTTCACCTGCACAAGATCTACAAGAACCTTGCAAAGTTGAAGAGAATGTGCAGTCTGCTACAGATCTCAAACATGAGGATACACGTGTTCCAGGTATGGGTGTCCAAACAGTGAATGTTTTTGGATTGCATTTGTCAAGATATTAACATAACTTCATGAGTTCAAAGGTTTTTTCAGATGCATAATGATTTGGTTAAGTGTTTTCAGTGTAATTTGTTCATTGTAACCAACTGTAATCTCAGGTCTATCAAGTACGTCTACTGTTGGTGGGCATGATCACGAGTTGGAAGCTTCCACACCAAAGTTCTCAGATGATGATGCAGCCCGCAAAGCAAGAATATTACGCAAAAGGCTTTCTTCTCCTGGATCAATTTCATCTATGAAGAGTGGCAAGTCAAAAAAACATTCATTGCCTGCGAGTGTGTCCTTTGCTTCAGTTCCTGAGTTCTTGGAAGCCGCTGCTGCACCGCCTGAGCCTGATGAAAAAACCATATCTACCGCTGGTACAGGCACATCTGTCAGGACTATTGAAGAGGCAATGGCTGATACATTGCTTGGGTACATTGACAAGAATGCCGACACATACTTGCAAGACTTTGAGATTTCAGACTCAGATGATGAGAATGTTTGTGAAGGTCGTCCTAGCAAGAGTTTGAAAGCTATGCTCAAAGCATTTGATGAAGTTCCAATGTCCACAGCATTCTCAGGCATTGATGCTCCTGGAACTGGTCTTTGTCAGCAACTGTCGGAGTTGAATAGCAGAGTTGGCGAAGGGCACCAGCGAAATAAGATTGCAAAACCATTGCATTTGAATGCAATAGAGTGGTTTCAGCCGAGCCAATCTGAACTTCTTTGTCATCCATGCAAGCCGCACTGTCTTTTTGGTGACATTACTATGTCCTTGACTCCTTTCCTACGCGGACTGTTTCCACAACTGGTTTTGAAGCAGAAGCTCATGGAGGTTTTGAAGCCGGTGATCAGTCTTCCAGAGAGCATTGTGTTGAAGCTGGTTTGTTGATGACTGAACTGCTGTATTTATTTGCTTGTATTGTATTTGTTTTATTTGGTTCTAAATGATACACTCTATTGTCAACCTTATGCACTTATGCACTGTTGCACTTAAGGACATCACACTGCTTGGTGCACAATCAAGAGTGTAGCTTGCTGCGCAATGGATCAGCGCTACTTCACAAAGCTGGCACAAGCTGTATTGCTTGGAGCGACATGGGGATTGGTGAAGGACTTGACTCAGCCTCTACAGGCCACTTCTTGATATGGGCAGGAATTCGTATTCAAATACAAGAACCAATAGTTATCTTGGAAAATGTTGTTCGGTTTCCTCGCTGGTTGCTCTCTGAATTGCTCAACATGTACTACATGGGCTATGTCATTTTGAGCCCAAGCAAATTTGGATGGCCGATTTCACGTGAACGACAATTCTGTGTGTTTCTTTGATGAAATTTGTGTACAACCTATACAATCACTTTATTAACCTTAGTAGTTTTCTTCAATGACTTATAGTTTGGTATGTCCCAATGACACTCAAATCGACTCAGGCTTCGACATCGTCAAAAGACGATTGGCTGGAGACATCCATTGAATGTCTTTGTTGACACGTTCAACTGTGTTTGCAGAACTTCTTGGGTGATGTTCTTTTGGGAGTATTTTGACTGCAATATACTATTTGTATTTTTTTGCTTATATGTTTGGTTAGCTGATTTAGCCGCTTATTTTCGACTTTGAAGCTAGTGCTTCTTAGGCAGAACGAAGAGGCGCTTCAGGCTGAGCTGGATTGGTCATTGAGCAGACCAGGATCTAGGTCCTACGGGCAATCTTTGAAGGTGAGCGATCCTCAAGCCTTTGTCAAGAGCCTGACTGTCGCAGAATATGACTTCTATTTGAAGTACAAACAGAATTCTCCAAAAGGCATGTACAGCCTGAACCAGAACCCACAAAAGCGTGGAATGCAAGCAAAGCTCAACCAGGATTGTTTGTGTGCTATGTTCATCAGACTTTGGAAACCAATCATGGTGACAGTTTGAGTTGAAACACATTATAGCTTTATAGTATATATAGCTTAATGTTTTTTTATTGGCATTCTTTCAGGACATGAGCACTTTGATCAAGTCTGGTACTTTGTGGTTCAGCGACTATCACCTTCGATGGCTTACAGCTGCTGAGGCATTGACTTGCCAGGGATTTCCTGTTCACCAGAAGTGGTCCTACAACAACCCTTGCTGTTCCTTTGCAATGCGGAATGCTGGATTGTGCAGGGTGGCTTCTCCCAGCAGGTCAGCAATGATAGGCCAAGCTGGTAACAGCATGCACACTGAGGTTTCTGCGGCTATTTTGAGCTTTGCTTTATTGGAGGTTCAGATCGACAAGTTTGCCCGCCAGATGTTCAGTACTTGCATACATATTGCGCCTTCATTTACAGCACCTGGACCATCAGCACCATGTCAAGAAGAGCGTGCTGTAGATGGTCCTGTGAAGCAGTTCAGGTCAAGCGGTCAAGCCTGAGAGGTTGACTTTGACCTGCCTCACAACACACCATTTTGGTGTTTGCTTGTGTTTGCGACTTTGAGTACAGTAGGTTACAGTAATCGACACATCACATCTCATCACTCACATCCAAAGATTTGCTATGTGTTTTTTTGACTATCAACTTCAGTATTGTTGATAACTTATTTTGGTTGTGATGAACTGATGAACACTAGAGCGTGATCTGCATTGAATAGTCATAGTATCACAGGTTACTTCAAACAAACATGTTATGTTCAGGTGTTCAGAACAAGTTTCAAGTCGCAAGCCGTAAGCCTGATGAAGTCGACTCAATACATTGCAGCCAAAAAAAGGCACAACTATGGTGACCATAGTGAATTCACCAGTCACCATGGCGACGTCAATTCCAACATGTGATTGTTGGAACTCTTGACAGTTAAAACATTGGTTCAATGCTTTTGTTCATGCCGCTGCACACAGTCAGCAAAGGGACGGTGCGCCGGTGCGCTATGTGTTTAAAGCAGTCAAATGTTTCCCAAATCACATTGTTTCCCAAATCACAAATATGATTTTGTGTGTTTACTTTTGCTGTCGCTGTCGGTCGGTTGAGCGTGTGGGCAATGGATGGTGAGGGAAGTTCAATGTCTGGTGCTGCTGCTTCTGGGGGTGCAGCGGCGACAGGCACAGGTGCAGCTACACCGGGTGATTCAACCACTTTGAACAAAGACAAAGCTCCCAGGCTTACGAAAGCTCAGGAATTGAAAAAGAAACTATATGATCCGAATGTGAAGTTGGTGGACTTGTTTGGAGATTTAGAGCCAAAGATGATGCTGGATGCGATATTTGATACATTCTGGGAGTCTTATCTTAATTTGTATTTTTCTTATTGAATTTGCAGTGTAGCCTGCCCGCTTTTTACTAGCAACGCGAGTATAGCGTTCTGACACTGAGATTCGTCGACAGCGGGTTCAATGGTACTACACTGTGAATGGACCCAATGGTGCAGAGCAACGCTTCAGCTTCAGGCGGGACCCCATGAACGACAACAGAAAGCAAGCAATTGTGAATGAGATGATCAGATCTATTGAGAGCAAGGGGTTGGTTGCAGATGCTCGAGGAAAAATGTGGGTGGTGGATCGAGCTGACAATGAATCGACCCTTGGATTGTTGTCAACTGACTATTGCTTTTGTTTTATATTCAATTATACTATCACATGTTCATGCGCTCACATGTTATTATGTTCAAGTTGAAGGCTGAAACCTTTTGCAACCCAGTCCAGTCAGGCCATACCAGTGCCTTTCTTGGGGACACATGATCCTCACCTGTATAGCAATGCTTTTCTAGCTTATGCAACTTATGCGCATAGGCTTTCATAACTATCATTCAGTGTTCTTGCAGTGAAGTGTCCCAGTGTCCCAAATGTGTTTTTGATTTTGAAGCTATATATATATAATATGTTGTTCAACCAACTTGCTCAGGACAGAGGCCGTGAGCATTGCCAATGAACGCAATCTTGCATGTGGTGGCAAGAACTTGATGATCAGCAAATCAATAGCTGATGGAGTCGAGGCAGAAATCTTTTCAGACATGCCCTTGGAAGCGAAGGAGTTCTTGATCAAGTTTCACAACGGAGTCGACACCAACAAGGACTTGATGTCTCAGCTGAAGCTGGTGCACAAAGTCATTTGTCTGATATGACCAGTTTTTCATGTGTAATGATTGTGTAATGTGTTCTGTATTGGACTTTCCTCAATCCTCTACTTCGTGGTATTGGAACTGACTGCTAGCTTCTACCAGTGCTACCAGGCTGAATCCTCTTGGCGTCAATTCCGCGCAAACATTGGCATGACAAGTCGGCAATTCAATGAGGGTGGATATGAGGCGCAGTATTTCAGGTTCATCAGCAACCGCTTTGTGGGAGTGTGGAGGTCTGGCACTAAACATGTTGTTTTGTTTGCATTTCAATGATATGTTTGATGTGTTTCATTATTTGTTCAAGACGTAAAGATCAATACCAAGTACCAAGCAAACAAATCAACACCGATTTTAGCCAGGTCGTTCCGGGCCTTTGACCAATGCAAAGTGACAGCCCACATGTTGCAGAACCTTCAACTCTTGGACATGGTTGTTCAGGAGTGCAATGCTGGTTGTGACATTTTGAGGGCAGGCTTCACCCCAGAGACAACGTTTTCTTCCATGCGCAACATTTTGAGCATGTTGACCCAGACTATCTCCGCAGATGTTGAAGACAGGCTGGACTTGCTGACTTTCTCCAATGTCCAATCTTATATTGAAAATTTGAATTGTATATTTGTTGTTTACAGCTGGCTGGAAGTCTGTGAATTTTTCTGAATCCATCATCCAAACAAACACTTCTGGAGGGCGCTGTATGAGATCCTGGCCTGGGAAGCTGTGAAGTTTTGTGTTTCTCAGACTTTCATAACATACTGTATTTGCTGCATTGGTTTTTGTGTATTCTTGTGTGAGTTGTTGTGACTGTTGTTTGCTTTGCGCTTCAACGATTAGTGAGTGAGACTGAGACTGACATACTGAGGTTCCATGGTTGGATGAATATCAAGGTGCTGTTGAATGGCTTTTTGACAAACCACGGCCCGAGCTATCAAGCCGATTGGTCCAAAAGATGGAGGGCTCAGAGATCATGAAATCCAGCGACAATGCACCAAGAAAGGCAGCAAGCAAAGCCAAGGCAAAGTCAAAAGCAACAAACACTACCTTCTGCGGAATTGATTCTTTCAGGCTTTGCTCAGAGCACCCCATGGAGTTGAACATTAAAGCGACCAATCGCGTCAAGACATTCGCAGATGTGTTGATCAGCTCGGCTAGCTATGTGATCCACTTGATCGACAAAGACTTTGCAGGAGCAGCTTCCACAAACCTGCGCCTGGTCTGCATGCTATATTGATTACTGTTTATTGCTTATAACTTATGACTTGTGACTTATTTGGACCATTGGACCAGTTGTTCATGTGTGAGTGTTTTTTGTTCAAGGACCACTGCAAAGAAGAGAAAACTTATCGGACATTTCTTTTCCAAGATGATGCAGTTCGCTTTCGCCGGGAAATATGACATGGGTACAGAGAAGCATGGAGTTGCGCTTAGCAAAATCAAGTCTCATGCCATGCATGACCTCTACCAAAAAATTGCGGTGGAAGTTTTGCCATCCTTCAGCAGTGTGGCTTCTGATGAATCAATGGTTGACAAGCTGCAGAAGTTCCTGTCTGATTTGGCTCCATCAGCGCCAGCATCAGCCGCATCAGCCTCAGCCTCAACGCCAAGTGCAAGAGCCAAGACATCAACCGCCAGTGCAGCGTCCTGAAACCACTCATAGTAAGCTTTTATTTTTCAATATACGTTGTCAGTTTGAGACTTTGTTCTTGCAATGTTCCATTGATGAATATGTGTTTTGTCTAGCATTGGCTTCAGCCACCAGTGCTGTTATACCTTTTCCTGCCAGGCTTCTGTCGTTGATGATGAGACGAACCTGAAAGCATTTTTGTTCTTCGTGCAGGAAGGTTTAGGAGTGCCCGCGTGTAAATCCACCGCTGATATTGGTCCAGCCTTGTCTCAGTGCTTGCGGAATGTGAAAGGGAAGCTTGATATGACATTAATGTAATCCTTTATATTCAACCTTCGAGTCACAATACTCCGCACCCATCATCAAGTTGTGAAGTTGAAGTTGATTTACTGCAATCAATCTAAGGAATCTATCGCAAGCGCCGGTCATTAGAAAGATGTTGGTGAGCATTATGCAAACTTGTGGTTGCAAGCCCAGAGACTCAAGCAGCCTTCTCTCAGATGCATCAGAACAACACGAGCATCTCAGCCAAAGACTCAAAGACAGTGAATTCACACCTATGCTATGCATTGCATTATTGTTCTTGTGAATGTGAACTGAAGAACTAAGCTAAAATACACATTTTGTCATGTGTTCTTTCTTCTGCAAAGGCAGAATGTCGAATGCGCGATCCACTCCAAGAGTGTCACTACCTTGGACTTGAGCTATGAGACATCCAGGGTACTCTTTTCCCAATGGCCAAACATCGTCTCCATTTTCATTGATAGCAATTTGCGGTATTACATGGCAAAATGGATGCTCCCTGAAAGCATGAACGTCATGAAGGTATCGAATGAGTTGCTTCTGGATTTGAAGATGCTTCGGTCAGGTGCAATGCTAGAGATGCTCCGGTTTGCTACGTCTTCTCCAAAGGCAGCTTACAAGCTTGCACATGGATTCGGATCAGCAGTATCTAGCTCTGTATGTGAAGATAGCAAATCTTTGTATAAATATGTTTTGCATATGCATAGACTGCATAGACTCATAGACTCAAAGGCTTGTTATGATATGTGGGATTTTTATTGCATAATTGGATACTGGACACTGGATACTCTCTGAGGTCGACATTACAATGGAAGATGCAGGATCAGTTGATGATGATGATGATGGAAGTCATCCTTGGCTGGCCAGGTTGGTCAAATTGTTTCAGACCAACCAGAAGTTGGCAAGGTCTCTTTCGGACTTGGATGTTGTCACGCAAGATCGAACATCATTTGTGGCTCATTGGCAGCAAATCTTGGATGCTGCCAAAAAGTTCGAAGGGTCTGGCACGTTGGTCAGCAAGCAGCTTGAGGATGATGCTCGTCTGAACATGAAACATGGACTAGGCCACTGGCCACTGGTTCCACTACTATGGATTGCAAGTGTTACACTTGTGCAGCATTCCTTCATCACAACTCACTAAGGAGATTTCCAAACTTTTGACATCTGCCTTACAAGCAACCCGCATTAGTAATTTCAATTGTTTACTTTTACTTTTGTGATATATAAATAGCTTTATTAAATGATTCTGTTTACATGGCCTCAAGCGGCCCAAGCTCAGGCTGCAAAAGCTACTTCTTCTGCCTCTTCTGCCCAACCGCCATCCAGCGCTCAAGCGCAAGTGTCTCCAGAAGCAACAGCGGCTATTCCTTCAATGTCATTGGATGATACCGTTCGACC